TATATATATATATAATGAAGTAATAGCAACAGTACAAGCAAACGAACTGTAAAATTTTCGAGACAACCTGTACCTTTATCAAGACACAAATATTACATAAATTACACCACATACAATTTTTAACAAATATTACGATGTTTTTTATCAGTTATCAAATGAATGGCTAACCATTTAGTTTCTTTAAACATATTTTTCCTATTAAGTGTGTTTAAACTACAGGTTTCATTTGTGGTAATTATGACACAAATGTGACTTTTTAAACTAAGCGATTGATAACATTGCACGTGTTTCAGGTATGAAACCAGACAAAAACAAAGTATATGTAACATACACATGTAGAAAGATCGTTAACACAAAGTGACAACCAACCTTCAGTTACAGGCCGTGCGCACGTGCACAAAGTTTTATGTTACACCAATAGATTGTTACCAGTCTCCGCTTAAATATCGCGAAAAACACTCAGTGAAAATCCATTATTGTTATATCGTTAATAAATAACTCCATCACATGTTTCAACAATAAGGCACCCTTGCTATAGATACCCTTAAAGTATGAAGTTGATGTCGTCATGGATGATATACTGTTCAAATAAAATGTTGTTGAATACATTTTGTCTGCCAGAAAAATGTGCACGATGAAAAAATATGGTCCACTGAATCAAGATTAAAGATATTGTATCAAATATAAAACATAGGTAAGGTACGCCAGTTCGGTCGGATCGAAATTAACACGAGTCTCTGGTCAAGTTGAGTCAGCTGCGTAACGTCTTGATCTGGTGTGTCAACAGGGGCAAACAGAAACATTGCCATATTTTTTTTTGCGTCTGATTCCAGATGTATAGCGGTAGATCATCAAAGAGCTTACAATAGTGCTTTAGATTTCACAACTACACAACTGCATATATTATGAATTCTAATGTACCAGCTTCGCCTGGATAATTCAGGCTCCAGACCTTTCTTAATAAATCGTTATCTTGAAAATAGTTTCATCCGTTTATTTTCGAGAATTTTGGCGAAATGTGTTGTCCTTTTATGATTGTATCTATAAAATTTCACGACTTTGTGAACCTTATCTTAACCATATATACCGTAGCATTGTTTCACGGATACATGCATATATATGCTAAAAATAGCGGAACACTAGAATTCTTATTCTAAACTTTTAAGATAAATGTAAGATTACAGCAAATTTGCGATCCATTTGATAGTAAACAAGCCGCGTGATCACGACGACAGATGGTCTGACAAAATTTAAATACAGCATATAAAAATGTTCCATAAAAATCCGACATAACAATGTACAACCAGTCCTCAGCAGCGCACTAATCAGACATAACATAACGGTATGATGGAACCTTATGTGACCCCTAGGTTAGTACAAGTCGACATATATACAATGCATATGTTCGTCTCGTCGTAAAAACATTTAGACATATAGACAAAGTTCGTGAGTTTTGATGTTCGATGTTTTCTTTCTCTATAACAGCAATATCACTAGCACAATGTACAGAACTTCTAGCTCTTGTAAAAAAAAAGTCGGGAAAACTGTATGGGTAGAACGTACTCATGAATTCCTACCATTCACAAAAAGATATTTTAGAAAACTGATCATCATGCATCCAGTTTGAAAACTTTTCTCGAAAACATGTTTATTGGTGATAAATGGAATGTTTTCGTCACACTTTCGGTATCAAAACGAAAACTACGCCGCTCCACGAAAATTTTACGTTTTAAGGACTGCTTGGCACTAAACATTTAAACACAGATATACCTTAATACTGAGTCACCATTTACATAAGTCTGACAGATAAGGAGTTCTGGGAACTTTTATTTATATGCATTGAAGGAAGACAAGTGCACTTTTCGAATAACTGCGGCTGGCGTTTTATACATCACAGGGCGGGAATTATATCTGCTCGTTCATTTATAAAACTACGTTACATAACATCTTTTGTGGCAATTCGATAAGATTAGATCCTTTTATACACGTAACTAGCCTAGTGTGCAAATAATACTATCACTGCTTAACAACACGGTCAAGGAAAGGTGTTATCGGTACAACTGTACATGTCATTCCAATGAATGAGAATTTTAAAGGTAGAAATGTTTGGATAGGGTCGCTACATACATGTCTATCAATCTAATTGTTGTTTAAACCTGATATCCAAACACCAGTCCTCATAAATGTAAAGACCGCGAGACTGTTCACCACAAACCGTTCGTCGGTTGTTAGAATCCAGAATCATTAATTTAAATCTTGGGATTGGAAATATTTGTTGAAATCACGTGATCTTATCGTTATACAGTGAATTCGCCAATGTAATACCAATCTTTTTGCGTATATGTCATTACCTTAACATGTCCTGGAGTGTTATCGATTATGATGACATAATACGTGTTTAAACATTTTTTACATTAAACCTGCCGAAACGTGACATTTCTGAGGTATATAATCATAAGGACCTTTAATTTGTTTTCATTTCATATGAGATTTTATGAAACTTGTCTCTAAGTTATAATATTTGCTCGTCAAGTCTCGCAAAAAACTTCTAGACCCGTTTCATAAAATCTAATATTAAAAGAAAAGTCACTGAATTTCCTTTATTCGAATATTTTTTTTTCCAAAAATGTATCCACTTAAATATATCTAATACGTCTTTTTCAAAATCTCAAGTGTGTTACTGACTCGTCTTTCAGAACTATTTATGCATCGTTTTCTAAATTAATTTGGTCTATATTACCAAGAAGAAGAGCGAGTTAATATATCACAGGTTCTTAGACAAAGGCACGCAACGACTAATTAACTTTCATTCATTACAAAAGAGATCGCCATGACCCCAGCAAAATGAACAAGTCCAAACTGCTGAAATTTAGCCAATGGATTTAGTGGAAAACTTCATCTGTTTGTCTGTCTCTCTCTGTCTGTCTGTCTGTCTGTCTGTCAGTCTGTCTGACTTCACCATAACTGTGGGGATTTTTACAAAGATATACCGGGAACACCGATTTCCAACAACAACATGATAGTAGCAAATATATATTACTCCTCAACCACACAATCTGGGTCAGTTTTCATTTGATAAGACATCATTTGTGGACACATATTTTTACATAGGTGTCCTCACAATGTCCTCCCAGAAATGAGGTATAATGACCTGGTATAGTTACGAGGAAGCAAGAAAACGAAAATATAATTTGGCGGGCACTATTGAGACAGTAAAATCATTTTGTGAACATTTAATAATTTTTTTTGGCATTTCGTGCAATTCATATGCAATTTATATGACCGTATTTCTAAGGACATGCAAATTATTACCTATATTTTACATACGTTTTGGAAATGTATGTGCCGGAACAGGCTTACTTGTATGTGCTCGAATCCGAAGTTGATGTTGATCATGATCAAGAATCGTCAGCAGGCAAGCGACAACACTAAAGCTGTAGGCATGTTTTTCTGGTTATCATACAATACACATATTTAATGTTAGTAGATACTCTTGAGGCGGAAATCCTTAGCGTGGCAAGCTAACGCGAAAGCTGGAAAAGCAAAACCACAGTCTCCGTGAATATCACTTTTCTTGGATAAACATAATATACAATCAATAATTGCATAGTGATACAGGTATTGAACCGTTGTGACGTCATTGATGTATGAAATGACGTAACACTAACATGTCTGTAGTGAAAAGCGAGGTGTCATGTTATTCTAACTTAATTTTAATTAATCCTCAGACATGGTCCGACCGAAGGGCTAAAGACAATGCATATGATGTTATGATCAAGTTATATATACCGGAAAGAAATTTAAATCCGATTTTAAAATTTTATATTTTTCTATAATTTTGTAATTAATTTCATAATTTACCTTATATATCAGATATAGCGGTCAGGACACCTTACAGTGTGCCCGGTGTATATATCAGATATAGCGGTCAGGACACCTTACCCGGTGACCGGTGTATATAACAGATATAGCGGTCAGGACACCTTACCCGGTGACCGGTGTATATAACAGATATAGCGGTCAGGACACCTTACCCGGTGACCGGTGTATATGTCAGATATAGCGGTCAGGACACCTTACCCGGTGACCGGTGTATATGTCAAATATAGCGGTCAGGACACCTTACTCTGTGACCAGTATATATGTCAAATATAGCGGTCAGGACACCTTACCCGGTGACCGGTGTATATGTCAGATATAGCGGTCAGGACACCTTACCCGGTGACCGGTGTATATGTCAGATATAGCTGTCAGGACACCTTACTCTGTGACCGGTGTATATGTCAGATATAGCTGTCAGGACACCTTACAGTGTGCCCGGTGTATATGTCAGATATAGCGGTCAGGACACCTTACCCGGTGACCGGTGTATATGTCAAATATAGCGGTCAGGACACCTTACTCTGTGACCAGTATATATGTCAAATATAGCGGTCAGGACACCTTACCCGGTGACCGGTGTATCTAACAGATATAGCGGTCAGGACACCTTACCCGGTGACCAGTGTATATAACAGATATAGCGGTCAGGACACCTTACCCGGTGACCGGTGTATATAACATCTATAGCTGATATGGTGAAGTGATGACACATTTTACACATTTTAGAAAGAACGCTAGTTTAGATTTAATCTCAAAATATTTGTTCAACAAATCGTATACCAATCCACCCACTACATCACCATTTTGTCCTTTTTGCCACAGTCAAGAAAATATTAACTGTAAATGTATCCCTACAGCTAGCACATGACCAGGCATATCAGCGCCCTTACTCTGACTGAAATGTACATGTATTAAAACGCTACAAAACGTGAAAAAGCGCATCAAGTTATAGACCTATGTACTAACTAGGGCCGTATTAAACAAAACACGTGTACAGGAATTTGACTTTAATTGACCTAGACGCCACATCTTGATAAATGTGCAGAACATGGACCACATGTGCAGCATCCGTAAATCTAGGCTACACAGGTTAAGTATCGGCACAACGCAATACTTACCAAGCTGTTCTTTAGATATAGCATCATCAACAACTCCCTGCACAAAATACTCAATCTCTTCCTTAGTAAGGGCCGATCCTTGCTTCTTTTTCAGGATAAGGTCAAGAATTGAGATCCCATTAGAAGCGCTGTTCGTTGTCGCTGCCATCCTGCAAAACCGTACTGTTCACTACTGAAGCGTTCGTACTATTGTGGAAGTTTCCCGCCAAAGTTTTATAAAGTACACACAGTAGTCAGTTATCGGGGATAGAATTACATCAGCCGAGAGAAGGATTGTGAAATGTGAGCTAGGAGCGAGCAAGGTAGACCGATAGCACGGAATACGGAGGGAAATGGACCTGTGTGTTAGGGGCTGAGGGGGTAATGCAGGAGGGGGATTCGTGACCGATATTCGGCTGGAAATTTGCCAAATCTGTTTGTTATAATGTGACTGCCAGCCCTTAAATCTTGCTTACACTAGCTTATCTCCCCATAGCTGGAAACTTGGTCAAGATCCCAAACTATTTATACCTTTGAGAGACAGTAGTTAGTCTACTATTGACGAAGCTGATTTCTCTGTATTTATTAAAAGTCATGGATACCATTAAAGGATATTTTTGCGTTATTTTACCTTATATTTCACGCAGGAATTCAAAAGACTATTTAAGTTAAACATAGAGAATGCAAAAGTACAAAATCCATTTGTAAAAGACGCTAAACAGCTGCTACGAGTGTATTGATCACTGTATATCAATCATTTTTCATTATCAAACATACAACACTGAACGACCTCCATGAGTGTTCTGGCCCTTATAGCGCGACAATCCGTGAATGGGTTTGTCGACGCTCGCTGTGCACGTGAATTTTTGCGTTCTATTGAAAACGACATCGTGCATGTCATGCATGAACGACTGATGAGTTGACGTTATTGAGGGATATGGTTGCTATGGAACCCGCCATCTTCGATTTCCTTAGCAACGGAAATCAAAGTTGGCGTACTTAGCAACCCCATAAACCTACGGCCCCTCATGAACGTCATCCAATCATGACGGAGTGTGTGACACCATCACCGAGCTATCGCCCCGTCACTAATTGTCTCCCCTGTCCTGTTTGCCGTGTTTCAGGTTTGTCCTCTTATGTTTTACTGTTGTATGCTGCTATTCCGCTACTGTTTTGATGCTGTTTACTGATGTTTTCTGTTGTTTGTTATTGTTTGCTGCTGTCTGCTGCTGTTTTGCTTCTCTTCGCTGCTGCTGTTTTGCTGCTGTTTGCTGCTTTTATGCTATTGTTTACTATGGTTTGCGTCTGTTTTACTGCTGTCTGCTGCTGTTTGCTGCTTTGATGCTGTTGTTTACTATGGTTTGCGTCTGTTTTTCTGCTGTCTGCTGCTGTTTTGCTGCTCTTCGCTGCTGCTGTTTTGCTGCTGTTTACTGATGTATTGCAGATGTTTGCTTTTGTTTGCTGCTGTCTGATGTTGTTTGCAATTTTTACTTACAAAATATTGTTGTCTTACATTTTACACTGCCAAAAATAGTGTTTTTAAAAAACAATTTGACATACAAAAACATTTGCATCTTACATTTCTTTTTTGCAAAGCTTTACTTTTAGAAAAAAAAACATTTTTGGCCTCAAAATGTGTAATTTGAACTTTCCCAGTATACGGTGATATTCTAATGATGGCTTCGGGTTCCTCGGGTTGTTCACAATTGTCAGGAAACTGTAAAGAACCATTATTAAACAGGATATTATCGATGACCAATCGAATCATTGTTTCCTGGTGCATTTTTAAAGGTCAAATAGAACTTTTTTAACGAAACTATCTACAACATAAGTTGTAATGCCGCCTCAATGACTTCTTACGGACACATGAGTTAGGGCCACTGTGAATTGTGAGGTATGATACATGTTGTCATCAATTTTGTTTGCTAAATTCTGTGTCATGTTTCTGTGTCGAAATCCGATTGGATGTAGACTTTTGTTGTCGGAAAACTGATTGCTCGAAATCCGATTGGTTGTAGACTTTCTTGGTCGAAATCTGATTGACATCTATGTTTTCGTTGACGCACAAAATGGTACTATGTGTGTATGTCTATTAGCATATAACTGATGAGTACAGTCTCGGAGAAGCACAACCTGATAAGTCTATTCAACGTTTTAAAACATTCTTGCAATATCTTATGCACGTTTGCTGACTGAGGAAGCGAATAGACTTAGAGGCAAACAGCAGCAAAACAGTAGCAAAACAGCAGCAATTTTCACTTACAAAATATTATTGTCTTACATTTTACACTGCCAAAAATAGTGTTTTTAAAAAACAATTTGACATACAAAAACATTTGCATCGAACATTTCTTTTTTGCAAAGCTTTACTTTTAGAAAAAAAAAACATTTTTGGCCTCAAAATGTGTAATTTGAACTTTCACAGTATTCGGTGATATTCTATAAAACAGGAGCAAACAATGGCAGTAAATAAAAATTCTTAAGTGGTGAAATTTTGTCAATAAAAAATATTAAAAACTCTTTCATGCAAAATACCAACAAAACACGCCATACAAGCCATCTTCCGTTGTAGAAAAGGATGCATACACTCTACGGTACAGTCCAAAAACTGTACATAAACATGACGTCGTCAAAACCAACCCGTCTGTCGAATTACAATGCCTGAAACAGGACAAGCAGAAGAGGGGAGATAATGGGCGATAACTCGATGAGTGATGACGTCACACACTTCGCGATAATGAGATGACGTTGATGAGGGGCCGTAGGTTTATAGGGTTGTTAAGCGTGTCAATTTGCATTTCCGTTGCTAAGGAAATCCAAGATAGCGGACTCCTTAGCAATCCCACCCCTTAGTTACGTCATCTTATCAAACGGCTATCAGTACATCACACCGTGAAAACAAAAGAAAATGAAAACGTCGTTTTGTGAGAAAATGACAATTTCGTTATGTTTATAGTTTTTCTTCCTACATATGAACTAAGTTTTAAAAAAATAAATTAAGAAAAGTATAAAAACATGAAGGAAGAATAAAGACAAATATGTAAAATGAACGATAACGTAATACATTTATGTTAAATAATAACAATGACATATTTTTTACGTGTCTCATATTTCAATAAACGCCATTTAGGATATGTGCTGTCCGCCCAGTTTTGATCTACAGGACAGTAAAAGTCATTTCCAATATCATTTTTTATCTAAATAGGTTATTACAATGAAATTGTTTTCAAAATAATTTTTACATATGCATCAACATATCTAAGACAATTACTGAAATAGGAATGGAGTAATTTTACTTTTCAAAAGGGCGTGTTTTATTTGTTAATGTTATCTATTGACCAAGTGAAATTGCTCAGTTCCTTTTTTTAAGCCAACAACAACGGCGGCTGATTTTATTTGGATGAAGTACTTCACGGAAAAAGTTTGTTCGTCAAAATAATTCTTGAAGTGGATACTTGACATACGATTTGGAGTTTGTAAATACATATCAACGTAATGTAATTGAAAGATGTCACTTGAAAGTACACCATATACATGCCAATGGCGTTTTCTCTTTTTTAGCGGACAAGCTTAGCCAATTTCTTCCGTTCGTTCATAAATCTTTTCGTAAGCGTCGCCTAAAATGATGAAGGTCAAAAGGCCGTAATAGCGACGTTAAACTTGTTTAATAAATGAATAAATAAAGTCAGCTTTTTATATTGGAGCGTTGTTATTACTGATCACAATCATGTGAGAAAACACATGATATCAACACACTAAGCTGGGTAGTATATCAGTTAACATAAACTTTGTGTGCATATCGAAACAAATTTGAATTAACATGAAATCGGCACTTCCAAAAAGTGAACGAAGGATGATCAACATTTTGCACTGCGTGGTTCATGGCTTCACTGACACACGCCGACATACCACCTATACCAATGTGATAAACATGGACTCCGTGGTGTCATCGTCGTCTTATACGATCCTGTGAGAGACCGCAAAAAACTGATGTAATGAAAATTACAACTTTATGAATTATGTCGCATTTTATCATTGCATATTGTATGTAAAATATATAACTATTTACATGAATAGGATGCGTTACTCTGTTAATTTTTTATTGGTTTTTTTCCAATTTCTTCCGTTCGTTTACAAATGTATTCGTAAGCGTCTCCTCTTTTGCTTGAACTTTAAAATGAACAAGCATGGAACACCTATATTAATGAATTTATATTTATTGACTGTGTAAGTTGAGTACAAGCATTGTTTATATGCATAATAATCTGCTTTTCAAATTTATCGCGTTTCCTTAAATATTGAAAACCTGAAAGGCCGTAATAGCGGACGTTAAACCTGTTAGATAAATGAATAATTTCCATGTACCTCGCTGTGCTGGACTGGTATTACTACATTGTGTTTGTTAACAGGAATTCGTTAAAGTGAGGTGAGTTATATGTACTATGTTATATGTAACTAAGCTGGATTGGATTATAATGGATTTTGGTGTGTACCTCAGTTTGTCTATACCACGACATGACATGACACATTTGTGTCTCACAATGTATGTGAAAATTCAAATTCTCAAATTTCAGAATAACATTTAATCTATGTACCGCTCAAGTTTTGGCGATAGTTTAAGACAGATTAATCAGAAATTCGTTCCACTCCCATCGCTAATTTCGATATACCTCACTTTGCTTCTTCCTGTGCGCGCGCGTATGTGTGTGTGTGTGTGTTTGTGTGTGTGTTGGGTGGGAGAGTGTGTGTGTGTATGTGTGTGTGTGTGTGTGTGTGTGTGTGCGTGTCTGTGTATGTGTGTGTGTTGTTGGGTGGGAGAGGGTGTGTAATGGCAGAAGGAAACAGTTAATTCGCATTTTTCCCGAAATTATTGGCCATGTTAAAGAAATACTAGCATAGCATTTTGCTTATCAAATAATACATCCTTGCATGTATATATATTTATACATTTCCTTTGTACATAACAATTTTATTAATAGCAGAGGAACAAAAATTGTGTCAATCAAAACTCCTCTGATCTCTTACATGTGATTGCCATGGTTACCAACACATAAAATGCTAAAAATGCAAAAATACTACTTATTACAACCTAACAGTACAACTTTTTATTTCCGAACAACTGTCTTAAAATCAACAAAATTGTCATGGAAACAAGCTACTTACATTTCAGCAGTTTTCTACTCGGAACGCCTTCACATGACCACATGTAAACTCTTTGTAAAACTAGATCCTAGACTGTCTAAATAGTTGTCCACATAATGCAGAAATATCATCCTGAAAGACATAAAACAACACCGGCGACATGCTAATGTAAACAACATATCACATTTCTGACAAAAGTGTATA